CATCCTCCTCTTCTTTGACACACCCCTTCCCCCCCCCCCCCCCACCACTCCCTACAATCTGTAGCTACACTGTACTGAATTCTTAGGCTGTGAACTACCTTGATTTCATCCCTCTGTAGTTGACCATCTATGTTTTCATACTCTGTAAGGAGAAGAGCACCCCAGGAAATGAGCATTAGGAAGTTAGCTGCTTTAAAATGGTTAAACATTCAGATACTTTTGTATTGTTAAATAAAACTATACCTTTATCCACAAGGGGTTCAAAATCTACTGGCTCTGTCTTTGTGCTTTTCTCTATGCAAAGGTCTTTCACTGTGAAAAAAGGTAAACAATATTATTATCGCATGTTGGAGCAATCAGCCACTATATTACATGTGGCAGTACAATAAAGCCTAAAAACTTCCTTCATTTTGGAAGTAAATACATTAGCAGTTTTGAAGGGGAATCGACCAGTTTATTGGAAATAACCTTGAAAGTGCTTTTTGCAATCAAGCTAAAATGAATGAATGATTTCCTTTACCCCAGTAATAGTAATACTTATGAAAAAGAACCTCGACACAACGGAACCTCATTAGAGCGAACAAATTTAGCCAGTCCCTTGGCCCTTCATTATATTGAGGTTCCACTGTGTTCAAGTGTATTCTGGGATCTTACCATTTGCAGATGAGATTTTGATGTTCCCTATACTCATCAAGGTACTGAAGCTGATGATAAATTCTTGAGGAAACAATCCTGTTGTTGGCCAAAACGTCTCTAAGCTTCTACAAAAAAGAAACAACAAAAATAATAATAAACCAAGCGAAAACAAGAATATTGTATATTTTAACATGGCCATCCACGTCGCCATGACAACAATGCAAATTGCAGGCTTTTCATCAGGGCCTTAGAACGTAAAAAAAATGCCTACCTTTGCCTGTCAAATTTTCATTTGTAAGCAATAAATAAAAGGCATTTTCAGGGGGCTTCATGAATAGAAAAAAGCTTAAAACGTTCTTGGCTTCTTAAATCTTTTCAACATCGAAAAGGTTACCAAACGACCACAAAACTTACCCATCTATCATGTTCTCTGGTGGATAACTTTCATCATACGATGTTGCCAGGGCGATAGTCGCTCCCGCACTACTCAATGCAACGTCAAACATAATTGTACTGAGATGTTTTGACCTAAAAACTAGCCTAATAAATGGACAATTTCCGAAATCCAGACATACCCGCTAAAGATTTCATGCCAAAAACACTGGGGTGAGGTATCCCTTTTGCTCATGCTCAGTTATTGAAGCCGCTATTCTTATGCGGGCTCAATATCAAGATGGCAGAAAGAACCCGACCAGACAGACGGATTTTCGGAGAGATCATTTTCCCCTTAAATGCAAGACAGTTTTCATCTACATTCCTTGATTTTTGCCGTAATAGTCGAGGATATGGGGACGATGTGAGAACTGAAGATAAGGATGCAACAAAAAGGCTGTTAAAACCTGCCTCAGCTGTAACAGACAACGGTGTAACTAACAAATATACTATTCCAATTTGTCATCCGCTTGGCAACATAATGTGGGACTTCGTAAGACAATGCACGGTGGAGGAGAGTCAGTCGAGAAAACAGGAGACTGACCCTTTGCGTGCATGTGGTTGGAATTCTCAAAGAGAATATGACTTCATAAACAATAACGCATGTCAAAGTGATGATGATGATGACAATAAGGATGATGGTGGTGGTGGTGGTGTCAATGATGATGATGATGATGTTGACGTTGATGATGATGATGATGATGTTGATGATGATGATGATGATGATAATGATGATGATATCGACAATAGCAGTGATTCCTCTCAGAATATTTTTCACTGTGTCATTGAGCAAGCCAGTCTTTCAAAGGAAACCAAGTTGAGTTCAGATTTATTAAATGAAGTTGAAAACAGGACCAGGGTCGATAATAATTTCATTCTAGATGATGGTTTGTGGGAGGTAGAGAAAAACATACACAGTGAAGAACTAGTATCAGCTTACTGGCACAGCAGGGGTAATGGTATAAGTAGTGATTTCTCAAATGGCAAGCATCTTTCTGGCAATTCAGTCAGAAAAAATGGAAAAAATTTAAATGAATCATTGCTTAGTGACAAGACAGAAATGATCGAGCCATTACCTTTTAAAAAGCAAGGAAAATACCATGGAAGAGCTGTTTCACCATCTGTGACAATGAATCTCAAAGTGGAAGCTCTAAATTCAATTTTACACACTGAAACAAGACTCTCAAGAAATGTTCCAAATGAGGATGTGGATATTTATGGCAAGGTTGCTATTTTGTATGGTTCTCAGGAAACTGACAGTTCTCATATTTCAGTGCTTGAAAGTGAAGTAGTTGGTCTGTATGACTACATCACAGGGATTGTAGAAACATTAGAACGACACAGGTGCAGACATGAGGATAACCATGATGGATGCGAGGTATGACGTTTCTTATGTTTGGGACTGGATAGATTCCAGTTACAGTAAATTATTTGAAAATTGAATCCATCAGTCGTAGCTGCCACTGGTATCAAATTCAGATATGCATTCCTGCAGTAAAATGAACACTGAATTTTAGACAAAAACTACCTTTCTTGTTGGTCAGATTGAAGAAAAAATGAACTCAATTTTCAAATAACAAATCCACTTCAATAGAATCTATGGTCGTAAATTTTGATGTTCTGGGGGCATTCCAGGAGAAAACTCTAAAGTTATTTTCATGTATAACTGAACTTCTAATAATAAATATTGGGCTCGATCAACCCTCCCCATCCCTGCTAGGAGGTTAGTTATATCTATTTAGTTAGTTAGATTTAGTGGTTTCTGTTTCTTGTTTAGAATACCAGTACCAAAGACCCCTTACCATCAAGGGTAAACACATTTGTGCATCTCAGTGCATTCCTGGACCAACATTATCAAATCTCTTAAACCTCATTGACAACAACAGCCAGCACTGGCCGTGTTTTAAAGGAACACCCCCCTGTGGCCTGGTTACTGACCTCCCCTGCCCTTGGCGTTACACTTGACTGGCAAGTAGAAGAACATTTTCATAGGTTGACACAGGAATGGAACTTCCAAGAAAAAGAAGAAGATCAAAGAGCAAGGAACACCAGGTTTCTGTCACAGTGGCAAAGTGTGTTAGTAGTTGTTGATGAATATAGACAACTTGAAAAGGACATTCCACAAATTGAAGTCTACAAACTCTGCTCAAGTGGAATAATAAAGCTTGTGAACTTTGACTTAACTGAGTGAACCACTCGCTCACTTGGAGGAGATGTCGAACACATTTAAAAATATTTTTGTACACATTTACAGCGTACACTTATGTTTGGATTCTTTTAGCACATTAAACTGGCCGGCACTCTCCAAAAACATCAGGTTTACAAAGAAATCTGATGCTGATGATTACACAAGACGTCGGAGGTCAAGGGACGTTTTCATGACGATGCCAGTGTGGTAGTTGTCCATAGCTGCTTCAAGTCCCTGATTAATAGTAGCAAGAGCGAGACTCATTTTTTTAGATGAAAGGGCTGCAAAGAAATGGAATAACTTTTTCTTTTTTAAGAATAAGTTTCTTTATTACGTTCCATCTTTTTCTGGTAAAATATGACCGTCCGCAATAAGCAACCTTAGTTACACATACAGTGTAGTCATGAAAAAATGTAATGTAACGATAATGAACTAATAAATCTTAACGCAAACACGCTCTTCCTTGACTCGATGCACCTTTTAGAAGACAAGCTCTGTGTATTATGCAACCAGGTACTCTGATATTGTAATCAGAAGTCAAGATTAAAATGCTTAGTTTCAGTTGATGGTGTTGAGCTGCGTACGATAGGTGTTGGATGTTCTGGCACCAGGTTCTATACCCACTCTTCATCTTCCGTGGATATCTGCGATAACAAGCTCAATCTGCTTTTCTGCTTTTCTTGATAAGCTGCAAATAAATTAAATATTTATTTTGAGTGAAAAATATCCATTTTGGTCGTTAATAGCGGTTTTCATGATCAATAGTACAGAACAGACAATTCAAACTTAGGTTTTTATTACATGATGCTGCATAGTTTGGCCAAGTACATTTCGTCGTGAGAAAAACAGACTGATGGATTGAACTAATCGTAACCCGAAGATTAGTCTTTGAAATTAGGTCAAGCGCACGAGAAGATATGCTAGGAAGCACAAGCCCTCCTTTCTTTGTTTACGTGGCAAACTGTGCGTTTTGTAAATACGATATGGAGGTCTTAGTGAAGCTTAATGTGAAGTGAAAACGTTCAAAAATATGAGTTCGATGTTGCACTTAGTTGTTATGTGTTCGTTCACGCTAAAGCAGTTTACAAACTTGACACTTTAGGTTTGATAAATTCTTAAAATTCTGTCAATTTTCAAAGCAATAAATTGTAAAAATGTTGGGAGGGTTTTCTGTCGGCTCAATTCGCACTAATACACTCCTTAACAGAACGTAATTTTAAAAACACAAATAAATGCTATCGTTTCACCAGCGAGAAAATCTTTTAAAAAACTGAACGTTGCTTCTCGGTTCAAATTCCTTGTTCAACATGTTAAATAAGCACTGCTGCTTATTTCGGGTCGTCATGGCAATCTGCTACTCCGTTAGACTTTTTTTTCCTTACCTAGCTTCCTTTTTAACCAAAGAATAACTCTTTCATAGTATGCAATGCTTTTCCTTAAATTCCCCATACAGTGATAGGCGTTAGCAATACTTGCACTGGCTTTCGCTTCGCTGTCCCCATCTTTCAATACCTCAGCCATCTTCCGTCTTTTTGAGTGATAGTATATGGCGCTTTCAAAATCCTTCTGCATCTCGCAGACATTTCCAAGGTTATTATAAAACCTTCCTTGGGCTCTTAAGTCTTGAAGCTCCTCAGCGATAGCTAAACCACTCTCTAAAAACTCCGCCGCTTTGTCAAAATTCCCAAGTCTTCTGTAAACGCATCCCAGATTACAGTAAGCTCTTTGTAAATGAATTAAAGAGCCTTTGCGTTTCACAAGATTAAAATACTGCTCGTAGTAATATTTTGCTGTTTCAAACTTGCATAATTTGTAGTACGCATGTCCCAAGTCTAAAAAAAGTTTTTCTCTTTCGGGTTTGTTGCACCAAAGTTCTTGAAGCTGTTTTTCGAGATCAACTACCAACTCCTCTAACTCTGCTGTAGTATACGGGACGACTTTTAATTCATCGTCTTCTTGACGAATTATCTCCCTCAATTTGTTAGGTGCAAGTTTTTCATCTGTAGTAGTTTCTGCGTTAACTGTCAAAATGGTATTCTCCTCCTGATCTTTTCCTTTTTTCGACCCAAGATTTTTCCTCCACTTTCGAAATTTCGAGCAAATGCTAGAACCCATGATTTCAGTGCTGCTTTATCTTATTAATGATTTAAGCGGATTTGCCTTTTAACGTTTATTTTGCATATTAATTTGACATGCCACCCGTTAGCATCATAAATTTCTCCCTTTACAACATTTACTCGTGAATGTTTAATGGACATGAGAAGTTCATAACATCATGATAAACAAATCGGACGCTTCATGTTAATGGCTACCCTTTGTCCCATTTCCAGTCTCCGCGCGACCAAGTCATCAGCTGGGCCCAGTTACTCGAAGCATGGTTAGCGTTAACCAGCGTTTGATACCATGACAACGTATTGGTTTTGATACTGCTTAACCAATGGTTAAAGCTAACCGTGCTTTGAGCAACTCAGCCCTGAGGACCAACATCTAAATCTACTTGCTTCGTGTGGTGACTACTTCAGTCCTTGGATATTGNAACCAGCGTTTGATACCATGACAACGTATTGGTTTTGATACTGCTTAACCAATGGTTAAAGCTAACCGTGCTTTGAGCAACTCAGCCCTGAGGACCAACATCTAAATCTACTTGCTTCGTGTGGTGACTACTTCAGTCCTTGGATATTGTTTAAGACTGTTGTGAGTGGCTGAGGTGTACTCTTCAGCTTGGGTTTTGTTTCAAAACTGGATCAAACAAGTATCACTTTTAAAATATCAAGGATTCAATTCATGGAAGGAAATACTAACCCATTGCAAGTTAGAAAAGTAACTACCGTCATAGCTAATCCTATCCTCTAATATCTCGAATAAGGAATACACCCTGATTTTAAGTGATCATGAAACGAAATATTTTACCCATTTTTGCGTCAGAGGTACCCTGGGAACAGAGGTTTCTCTCTTGCATGGCCTTAGCGTTTACGAAGTCGTTCGCGTCGCTTGTTAGTCGCGTAGTTGGTTTGTTTTCTCCCTGGACGAATAAAACAAACCAACTACGCGGCAGACAAGCGACGCGAACGACTTCGTCGACGCTAAAAGCGAAATGCAAAAGAGAAATCGCTGCTCGCAGGGTATGCTAGAGGTTGCATGCAACATTTTTCAAACTTATTTTTATCTATTCACGAAAATTGTTTAAAAGGCACGTAATTAGGAGGAATTGACAGTGATCATTTTCATCACAAAATGAGAACGTTTTGCGAGTTTGATTGTTCCAGTGAATTTGATTTCCGCCAGAGAGATTAAGTCGCCTAATATTTTTCTTGATAATTACATACGTCTGTATCAATTAATAAAATACTGTTTCCTCAGCCTAGTCCTAGTCGATCCCTAGGCGTTCTCTCTAGACCCGTTGTCCGCGTTAAGTCTGAGTAGAGTGCAGGATTGACCGCGTCGAGAACGCCTGGGGACTAGGCTGCTGTTTTCTTTCTTTAAGGGCGATTGTCGAATCTGGTATTCTTATTGCGTGCTTGTTGACATTCAGGCTTGTGAACTTTCCAGTGCTGTTTCTGACATATCCTGCCGCAATACGATACTTTCTCACATCCCAAACATCTCTTTAAATCGCTTTTATGTATTTGACAAAAGGCACATTTTGGCACTTTGACTGAAGCTGTCCCCTGAGGAGGATTACAATCGGAGACACGATCATGCTCAGTAGACCAGGGGTCCATTTTTCCACTGTGCAACAAGTTTGTTGGGAGCTCAGAACGATTATCTTGAAAAGAGTCTGGTGTAGTTGATGTTGCACTTAGAGGCAAAACACAATTGTTCCTTTCCTTGTCCTCCTTTTCTGTGACATTAGAAATAGAATCAGCATTAAAAAAATTTTCATTAGATATGACAGAACACAAAAATATTTTTCTTCGAATAACACAAGTTTAAATATTACAAGATGAACACCACAAAGTAAATAACCCCGTAATTGTGAAACATTATTAAAAGTACATGATGAAAAAACAGGTTTGTAGCATCTTTTAGGGAGCCTGAGCAAGAGAGAAATAAGAAATCCTGGTTAAGGAACCAAGAGATCTTTTTCATCCAGTTACCAATTACATTCCAAACAGATTTATCGAAAGGACATTCCCGAAAGAGGTGTAAAGAGTTGCCTATTAGAAATCATTCCAGTTTTGAAAAGGAAACAGTTGATGATTTTCTGGGCAGAAGTTTCAATTGAAAGGCTCATAGTTTAGGTTCATTGGTGCATAGTGAAGGCCACGATGTATAGATAGATACTAGATAGATACTTTATTATAAACACCATTGCAGCCGTAGGCTGAATTACGGGATATTTACAAATACTGATGATAACAAAGAGAAAATAAGAAAAATTATCCACATCTTATAGACATGGCTAAAAATAAAACTTTTCTTCAAACGCTCGGTTTTACATAGGGGGAGAGTGAAATCACTTTTGCGTCTCAGAGCATATTTACAACTCTTCCTTTGGGGGAGGAGGCTATGGAGACTGTGGGTGGGGTTACAGACGATCTCGTCAAACAGATCGATTGAAATCTTTTCTCTCCTCTCATGAAGTTTCGGTAGGCCAACTGTTTCTAGTGCTACACTATATGACAGGTCAGGATAGATGATTCTGAAAGCCCTTCTTTGGATCCGTTCCAAATCTTCACTGATGTAGTTTGGTAGAGAACGATGGAATACAGGACTTGCGTATTCCAGGACGGGCCTAATACATGTCACATAGAATTGCACCAGTTCACTTGGTGCCACTCCGGATCTCTTGAGTTGACGTAAAAAATAGAGACGAGAGGAACATTTTCTAATTAGTTCAGAGGAGTGCATGTTCCACTTTAAATCGTGGCTAATGGTCACGCCTAGCAATTTGGCACTGGTGACTAATTCAAGGGGTTTGCCATTTAGGACTAGGGGTTCAAAATCGTGGTTGCTGTTGGAGAATCCAATTCGAAGTTCTTTGCACTTGGCCTCATTCAGTTGGAACCCATCGAGACTCGCTTGTCTCGAAAGGTCATCCAGAGCTTCTTGGAGTTTGCTCTCACTACCCTTTGTAACTATTTCGGAACAAGATGTATCATCCACGTATTTCCACATGTCAACTGGTGTGTCCAAGTCATTAATCATGACAAGAAATAACCAGGGGCCTAGTTTTGTTCCCTGGGGGACACCGGAAGGCACAGAGCGCTATTCAGAGTGACAATCCTGAGCAAGTTTAACTCTTTGTTTCCGGTCCATCAAGAAGTCAACAATCCAACCTTTGACTTGACTCGGAATATCATATGTTGTTAGTTTTTGAACAAGAACACTGTGATCGATAAGGTCAAAGGCCCTACGGAAATCAAGTAGGACTACTCTTGCCGTGGCACCATTTCCGTCGGTGTTAACAAGCCAATTATGCGTCATATTGACCAAAGCATGTGTAGTTGACGATTTGGGAATAGTTCCAAATTGTCGAGGGTCGATTCTTTGTAACACAGCAGGTTTAACGTACTTTTCAACAATGTGATCTTCAGCGAGTTTAGACAGGATAGGCGTAAGGGAAATCGGACTTAGGTGCTTGTTAATATCATTAATAGGCCTTTGTTTTGGGACCGGGACAACGTCAGCCTCTTTCCAAGAAGGCGTAAGGCGGGATTCGTGGAACGAGGAGTTGAGGATCGGAGAGACTGGACCCGCCAAGAGATCAGCGTTTTCTTTTAATAACCATGCCGGGATACCGTCTGGCCCGTGTGCTTTGGAGGGGTTGAGTGCAGATAGTGTCATAAAAGTTGAAAACTCCGATATCATACTTACGGCATGACTTTCGTTGTTGGCTTGTGGTGGGTCAAAAGGATTGTGGGTAAGAGGCTCAAAAATCTACATTGGGGTCAGGAACGCTGAATTGATGTAATTTGCCAGGGCACCTGGTGAAAAACCTAGGTGTTGCAGTAATTTGCTGGTGTTGTCCCGCGTTTCTGAGGCAGATGACATGCCGCTGAGCTTTTTCACCTCTTTCCACCACACGGATGGCTTGCACTCCCTCAAATGGCTAACCTTTGCTTCGTAGTACTTTGCCCGGCAGATCTTACGCTCACGATTCACGCAATTTCTGAGCATTCGAAAGGTATCCATATTTCCTTTTGCAAGGGCACATTAGCGTCGTTTGATCAAGTTCTTGAGTTTGTCATTCAACCACGGAGGCTCGCTTCGATGAAGAGTTTTGGATCGCAGGGGAGTAATAAAGTCTAGACCCATCTTAACGATATTTTCAAATAGTGACACTTTCTCCGCGCAGGTCTCCACGGTGTCAAGGAGGCGTGGTACGTCAACATTTTAGAGGTAAATTTGCATTGCGTGTCTTTTACTAGGTCTCAAATCCGTACAACTTACAATGTACAACTTACCCCAGTCTGTCGTGTCAAAACCACAAGAAATGCAGTCTGCAAGCCATTTTTCCCGACTTTTGCATAGGAATGAGGTACATTGGGTCACAAATATTTTGTAGGTCAATTTACAGAGGTTAACATGCTTTTGGTGTCAGTTTTATCACTTCTCATTAGGGGAAAATAATTTTTACTTTACAGATTTAAGATGGCACATACTACGCCGTGACAGATACTGATTATTGTTTCTTTGAATACCAATTTTTAATCTTACAAGATAAACAAAAACTTGTCCCTAATAATAAAAAAATTGCCTCTTATAATAGTAGTAAGATCTCTTAAACACACTAAGTTAAAAGCGTTTGGTTTATTCCGTTTTATGGAGGTGAAATCGCACTGTGTGAAAGACATTAGAAAATGTCGATCACCTCACAGGAACAATGGAAAATGACCTCGTTCCCAAGGTTCTCTCTCTTAAGCAAGAGAGAGAACCCTGGGAACGAGACTGGTAGTGATAGTGAATAGAACAACAAAAAGCGCTCAGATTGTTCAGTGTTTCATACTCTTCCCACACGACCCACCAACCTCCTTCCAGCAATGAACTAGCACTTTACCAGGAACTTCAAGCTCCCAAACGCACCGGGCTAAGACTCTTGTGTCTAATAGACCTTGTCACTGTTTTCGACGCCATCTTGACGAGTAGGCAAACATGTGGGAAATTACAGTGTTTGTATGAGAATCTAATGTCCAATAATTTCCTTAAAACCGCTGTTCTGAAAAAAAATATGAATCAAGTTGTAAACTAAAGCTACAAAGCAAAGGATTGTACTAAAAACTTTTGGGGGCGTACCTGTGCTTCAATTTCTCCAGAAGATTGCTTTCGATTTTCCATATATTTGTCTGTAATTTTTCCCGGGACGTTCTTGCAGACAAATGTACAGAAAATTTAAAAAAGTGGTTCTAGGTCTTCTAGCGCGTGTAACACCCTCAATTTTTTTCAGTAGAATCCTTAGGAGTGAAGCTTTAGTTTAAAATTCAGAACACCCGTTCTGCGGAAATTATTAGACATTAGATTGTCATACAAACACTGTAATTTCTCACGCGTTTGCCTGCTCGTCAAGATGGCGTCGAAGACTGTGACAAGGTCTATTCGTAACACGAACTGATTGTTTGTGGTGCTCTCAATTAGCTTATATTTCTATTTAACATGCTCAACTTACCCGACAATTGGGAGCGTTCTCTGGGAAATAAAAGGCAAAGAAATGAATCCTTCCACGCATAAAAATCATTATCTTGAGTAACTCTTGCAGCATTCGTGTACAGAAGTTTACGAAGCAAGCTCGTCTCCTGTTAAAGCAATGTCAAAATGTATCAAAGCCGTGTTTAACTGACATTCGTAAGAGCAGAGTATTCTGGCCCATAGTAACAGACTGAGCTTATATGCTGGGATCCAATCAGAGCCTAACGCGAACATATGCGCGGTAAACGCGTGGGAGTCAGTCACCCTGTGTCTTTGCCTCTTACTCAGGTGGAGAGAGAAGCAAGTTTGGGAACACATTTTCGAAGGGCGTAAGGCACCTTTGAAAGTACGAAACCCTTCCCAAGGCTCTTTGCGTTCACAACACGGAAAAACGTTTAGGCATACGCCGGATCGTGCAATTCCGGGCCCTTTTTCAGCTTTTTCAGTTACGCTTGCTCCACCTGTCTCGTTAGACACGATTTGGTGGAAATAAGAGGGTCTCAATGAGGTTAACCGATAGGCGTAAAACAGCCATAATTTAGTCGATAGCCGTAAAAATTGGAAAATTTTAACCGTTAGCCGTAAATAGGGTAAAAAAGAGTTAACCGTAAATGAAATTGTTCCCTAGAGTTCTTAATTTTAATAAGGAAGGTGCTAAACTTATGACTGGTTGCGTTTGTTATTTCGCGGCTACTTTGACTCCTTGTGCACGTTAGGCCAAGTGCCTTTTCAGGATCCCCGGGAGTCTTGCTTGACCTCATTTGGCCTGCGTTTTGTAGGACGAGTTGACAGCACTTTGTTTTTAGATCTCCAATTTCGCCATCCAGTGTGTGCATATGAGTTAATCGGTGTAAGTATTGAAAGCTGTTGTTAGTATTTTTCCAACGGGTAAAGAGAGGGTAATAGAAAGATACAAGGCAGGAAACTAGGAGCTTCGGACACTTTTAACATTTAAGGAAAACGTTTTTGACCTTCTCTGCCTTGACGAGCTTGCCAGGAAGTTCGGTCTAAGACTATAAGCCTCGCCAAAATCAGCTGCAAAACAGAAAATTATTCTTTATCGACCCAGCAGCAGCTGCAGCAGCAGTGAATGCCAGGTGAACAGTAAGTACCGCATTTCGATGGCGTATTCAAGACACAACTAGTTCGGACCACGTGACCGAAAACGCATTGGCCGCGCAGAATAATGAGGCCTAGGGACAAAAAATTGTTGACATTTTTATGCGTAAAATAATATTAGTATAGGTAATAGCATGATTTGTAGTGATACTTGGTATAAATACCACGAGTGATATTTCGAAAATTGTCATACGTAATTTCACGAGCCGTTAGGCGAGTGAAATTTGAGACAATTTTGAAATATCACGAGTGGTATTTATGCCAAATATCACGTACAAACCATGCTATTATTTGTTTATACTACTACCCACAAAAGGTTTGTAATTTCCACATGTAGGTATATCAAATTAAGCTGAAATACCACTGCTCTAAGCCAATCAAATTGCAGTAATTTCTCATGTAGTAGTATAAAAAGTGAAATACCTTAAAAGTGCAGTGAAACCCCGCCCGTACGGACGCCGGCTTAATACTTAATACGGACAGCTCGTTAAAAGTTAAGGACAGTTTGCTTTGTCCCCGGTGAACGAAAGCCCTTCTATTTTCTCTAAATTTATCCCGAGATGATTCTAAGATCTTTATTTTGCTTTTAAAGATACCAGAATAGAGGTTTGTTAATATTTTACTCTTTTAAACAAAAGAAATTAATTTTTAACTTTTTTGTTAACCGTAACTGAAAAAAATTAACCGATAGCCGTAAAAGAGCCAAAATTTTAGCCGATAACCGTAAAAGCCGCCAGCCCATTTAGACCCTCAAACAAGTGTATTTTCCAACCTCGTCCCCACGGCTTTTCAGTTAGAAGTGTGAGGGAAAAGTCCTGGTGATGAGGTTGACAATTTTCTTACATGAAGTCTTCTATGGCTTGCGTCACTGGAACGCCATTTAACACGAAAGCACACACTCGCTACCACATATATGCCAACCCTATTTACTTATTGTCAGTATTAGGAGAGATGATTTCCAAGAACCTTAAGGGGTATCATCCATCCTATTCCCAATTGTGCCCTCAATGATATATTACAACCGCGCGACCTACCTGCCGATAAGCACCAATGCGTTCTACCTTGTGTGGAACGCGTAGCGGCGAGAAGCGCCATACTCGCGGGAATGTCTTTTCATCAAGAATCTGAGAGGCATACTTTTCGCAATCATAGAAGAGTACTTTAGCAACAGGCACGTTCTTCCATTTGTACAATTCCAGTACTTTGATGATAAATCCTCTTTTCCTCGCAAAGTCGTTTGGTGTCTGATATGGCTCTTCAATGATCCCACGTTCATCAAGACAATATATTGTAGGATGCTAATAAAAAGAAAAAACGCTATTATTTGGTATAAAAGGCAGTACATTTGATGCGCTTTGATCGGTTATTAAGGTACGTGCCCGCTTTTTAAAGTCAAAGCTTAATCTCATGTGAGGAACGATAAAGCTAAGCTGTTTCCTCTAGATTTCAAAAGATACCATCCTTGACCTGAAAGTAAATAAATTGTGTCTAAAAATGTGCAAAAAAACTGAGTGTTATAAAGTCAAGAAAGTGCACAGAAAAAGTGTATAGAAAGTACGCGTTTTAAAAGTAGTGGCGAATAACAACAGCATCAATGCTTTGATATCGGGTTTATTAAGTAAAAAAGTATTTGATTTCGGATACTAAGTGATAGTGAAGAAAAAAAATGAGGTCAATATCCAGCTATCTTGGACGAACAAGAAAGGTTTTCTTACTGAAATGGCTAAGAATTCTTTTGTTGGGTGGCTAATTGTGGCCGCTCGCGTAGCCAGTAGAAACACAGGATTCGTCCGCCCTCCGTTCACTAAACCAACCATGTAATTTATAATTATAAAGTTAACTTCAACAAAAATAACAACAGTTCTTCTTGTCTAACCTTTGGGTCTGTTATGTGCCCATATAGAATACTTGCAATGCTCTCTCTCAGGTCAAAAAATGGCGGACCACTTGATTTTCGAGACTTCAGTTCCCAATCTTGCTTGGTCCGAAACATTGTACCGCATAATCTACAATGAAGATCGAAAGTCAAATAAATGAAAACGAGAAGAATAGAAGGTATCTTTTATACAAAGTATCTGATGACTTGATGTGGTGAGATGACATTCACATAACATTTTGTCGGAAACTAAGGACGTATAGATTAATCGAAACATAATTACTTGAAGTATAAATGGGTGTCCCGTGTTACACAAAATCAACAAATCTAAACCCCGGTGTACCGCGGCGATGGTCTTAAACTTAGGCTGCCATCTTGGATTTACGGAAAATTCTGCGTTCTCAAAATACCCTGTAATAAGTAGTTTTCATAAGTAGACACTCTACTAACATTTTTATATTGTTGACTGCCAGTGACTTGGCCTAACCTTTAAGCACAGAAATTGTTTTTTTTACCGGCAATGAAGTAAATAAAGCTGTGTCTAAGTGACAGAATTTTGGTGGAAACGGTATAAAACATCAATTGAAACTTTTGGCATCCTGCAGAAAGTTCTAATGTCTTTTTTACCGGCTTAGGTTATTCAAACTGCAATTTTTCAGGCACCCGTCACTGTTGCTGAAAAAGGTTCCTTAAACGAAAAGTTGTTGTATAAATAATGCGACGGAAATGGTTAAAGCTCTGCTGTGGGATGCAGACTTAAGTGAGGCAACAGCTGTACTTACTGTGCAAGTAAGTCTTTCCGTTTTAGATCCCATAATGGCATGACGTGAAATGGAATTGGCGCTGGACATTTTATCACCAGTTCACCCACGGTTCCGTCCTCTCTCTTCGGAATGTGGCATTGGATTGTTCCTTGCTTACGCGAAATTCGGAACTTTGAAGAATTCTCGTCGACAACACAAGAAAAGTGGATGATGCATTCTTCCCTATGAAAGACCCATTAACATAGTTTGACATTTTCAAATAATTTCTCACCCTTCTAGATCTTTTTAAATAACTACGTAAAGGAACTTAAGGGTTACACAAGCATAAGTAGTTATGACGTCTTGCTATTGACCATTACAACTCTGAGCCAAGAATTTTCATAAAATAGTTTCGCACATAATATTAACTAATTAACAATTATTCCTCGAGCCCGAACGGGCTCTGAGTCAATAGCCCATGAGGGCGAGAGGAATAATTGTTGTAGTAAAATCCAACTAGTCCAAATCCAAGCCTAGTAGAAGCTCAACCAATCAGAACGCAGCATTGATAATAAACCACTAGCTGAATTTTACTAATAACTATAATACATTAAAATGTGAAAATCTTTAAAACTAAACTTAATTCATTAACATTTAACAACAATAAGTATAATTACTAGTAAAAATGAACATAGCAAGACCTGAAGACAGCGCTAGCCTTGACCAAGAGCCGGAATGAAACTGTCCCCATTCTTATATTTATAGGCGAAAATTCATTCTTTAAACACCAAGAATTTAGGAAATTCATCAAAACTTTCCAAAGCCATCCATGTGAACACACGGGACATTGAAATTACACCTTGACACATGTTAAATCCGAAACACGATGGTTTGTCTTTTGGAGACATTCCATCCAAGAATGAGAGGAATTTCACCTAAGTTATTCTTCAAACAACCCGGATGGAAGTCTCTCAGGACAGAGGAATGCTTATGCAGATCTATGCACCCCTTCTCCTTGTTTTACAAGTTTCACAACGGCAAACTGGTCCGGCGACTTAGGTACACAAGATTAATTGAACCCAATGATAAGACCATCCAGCTCAACTGCATGAACTTTGAATTACCCCTTTCTCGTGATGACTACTAACAAGTGGTATTTTTCCCGAGAACAATCCTTGACTGGAATAAACGAAAAATTAACTGCCTGATTCAGAGGTGGTGGCATCAAGCCTAGCAACCTTCACTGTGCCGGCTACGGGACACCATACACAACATCCGCTGACCACCGGAATGATCTACTTCGTAACCTGCTCTAACTGGCACCTAATTTTCATAGCACCTACACTTTCGAAATTTGTAACACTTTTCACGCTAGCTTGCCTAGCTAGCGAGATGCTGTAGGTTCTTTTTTAGCAACGTAAGCCTCGAGAAGGTTGGGAACAAGTCAAGAAAATGAGCACCCCGGATATAACAATGCCGCCAGTTTCACGCTCACAAGAACCTTCTATAATCGGAAGGAGGTAGGTATCCCACCTTTCAGCTCCTTGGAAGTATATTGCAACTTTATTTGGACAAATGACTGGAAGAAATCTAGTCTTCATCTCCTTTCCTTTACATTTGATCGCATCCAAAATTTCAAGCTCCACGCTGTATGAAGAAGTGTTTTCCTGGACCTTCAAAACCTATATAGAACAGAAAGATTACTTTTGTTTGGAATCCTTTTTTTTTAATTCAAATACGAAGGCAAGTGGTAGATGTTTGTGAATAGCTTGGGTAGTCTCGCTAACTTTCAACCATTCTCAGCTATAATTCTGGTCAGTTTTCGGTACTCCGTCTTCAGAATTCAACGTGATACGTTCTACAATAGAACTGTATAATGGTGAAAAGCTGGTCTATTGACAAAATATTGCATATTTACAAAAAACTGTAATGAGAGCACTGATATATGTTTTTCTTAGCCTGATTTTTGGGTCCATATTGAGTAACCTAATAGAATTTTAACTAGTTGTAATCAGTTGTAATCACTGGAATCAGTTTTCGCTCCTAGGCCAAGTAATTAGACATATTTTGGGCTTCATTTAACTACTGGCAGGTTCTGTTTAGTTGTACTAGAGTGTATATTTAATTCTTGAGTGCTCACACAGTGCAGTTAGCAGTAGATAGCAATTTTAACATCAGTACTGATAGCCAAAACGTACCTTTAGAATTTCACAATCGCTGGACGATTCAACCTCAAACGTCTGCACAGCGAACAAACCGAATTTCTCTTCAGGATCAACCTGTTCAACGGCCTTAACACTTTCACTCCCGAGAAAAACCTTCTTTTGTTTTATGAATGGAATCCGAACATGGTCATTAGAGGCAATCCACATACAGGAATTCGACTTGAGTTCGTTCCAGTCCTTTTCTCGCAGATGGAACGTCACTATTTGAGCGGTGTCATCATATCGTACGCTGTTGTAAATTATTGAATAGTCGGTATCTTCCGAAGGTAAAGGTAGACCAAATAAAAAATCCTATGATAACAAGAGAAGATTTAATTGTTAACACAAAACTTTTGTACAAAAGTACTATGCGGGTGATGGCGAAAAATACTGTACAAAAAAAACCCAGAGATACCAATTATTTTATGCCCTCTCTGAAATATCCGTCACCTTTTTTTATGAATTTTTCTAGTGTAGTTATGAATTCTAGCAAGCATTTCAAAAGAACGCAATGCAAAATAAATGATGAAATTCAATGCGCAGGGTGATAGACGCTTACCATTTTAACAGAGCTTCCTTACGCCGACTATTCGGAGCATCAATTTTTGCTACAATCACCGTGAAATTATTACACTGGAACTGGAAGTGATGACTTCCCGATCAAAAAAAGTCCACACGAGGGTATATTGTTAAATAAATAGAAATATATTTACCAAGGCATTTTTAGGAAACTCTCCCTCTTTAAATGGTTTGTGGTTAGCAATGCAAGCCATCAGATTAAGCGTTCCTTCAAACCGAGGAACGACGGATATTAAGGTCGATACTTTTATTTCAACAATAGGCTCTGAAAGGAAAAGAGAATATACCGATAAATTACGGTCTGGCATTTTCACTGGTAATGTCACTCAAAGAGGAAAGGTGGTGGTGTATCGCTTGAGAAAACAATGTGAAATTTTCTCCTACCTCGTTCACTTCCTACTGAGGCTTTTACCAAATTCCACGAGAGACCAAACTTTTTGTTGAAATCAGAAGGTAGCTTACTTTCAAGAAGATTGAGGAGGGCTGTGGCTAAGAAACAAATACACACAACGTTTGCAAAAGAAAAAAATTACTATTTATTTTTTGTTCATTGGGCGTCCATTTTGTGATTTGATATCAGAGAAAGAGAGCACAACAAAAAATATAATAATTTTATGAAATTTCCAACATGAAATGAGATAAAAGTCAATACATATTGACGGGTAACAGTGCATTGTCAGTACTGTTGTCGGTCCTCCACGGACAAAGTTTTGCCGGAAAGGAAGTTTTATTGTTAGATTTCACGTGATCTCCACGTAGCTAGTGCCAGAGTACACTGTTTGTAGCCTGTGTACCGACCCCCCCTCCCCTCAGTAAAAATCGGAGAAGGGTCCCTTCTCCGATTTTTACTGAGGGGAGGGGGGGTCTGTACACAGGCTACATACACTGTTTGAGGCAAATCTGCCACGTCCCTAGTAACTCGCGATCCCTTACCTTATTACATAAAATTTTCGCGACATGTTTATTTCGCGATTTTAAATTTTATATTTTGAATCAGTTTAAATTCGCGATTTTGAGTACAATAATTTACATTTCACAGACAATGCTATTTAACAAGTCTTTGAATGAAATAAAACGACTTTCACGAAATTCGCAAAATTAACGTGTCGCGAAAAATTCATGTAATAAGGTATTTTGGGGAGATTAGTTAAGAAAGCGCTGTGTGCTCGTTATTATCATCTACCTGCCCTTCTTGTTCGTCTCCAGCACCACGCTTGTTAAAATGTTTTAGTTACGAAACCGCTCGGTGCTCGTTATTATCATCTACTTGCCCTTCCCTCTCCAGCACCATGCTTGTTAAAATTTTTCAGTCCCAGGATTAAAATACAAATTCTCCTTTCTTTTCCCATACGTTTCTAGAAGTAGACGTAGTGGGGAGAATTTGAGAAAAGGTCAATAATGAGAATTAAGAAAATAGCGTCTGCGATTCCGCGCTGGGAAACGATTTCCGCGACGTCAGTATTTTTCAACCAACCATAATTCGGCTCTTATTTTTGTGGTGCTAACACGAATGCGGTTTGCGTGAGGATCTCGCTATACGCGGGAAACAAAATGCATGGCGGAAGATTAAGGGAGATTTCACTTTCTAGGCGGGTGAAACAAGAGCCGAGAAAGGCGTCTGTTCTCGTACGCTAACGTTCTTAGGGCTTTGTCCCGCTTTCCTTGAGAACGTCTGCATGGGAAGCTAGACCAGCGCAACACCACTGTCTGCCTTACCTCCGCCTCTGACCAGAGGTTGTATCTGACGGACAATTCTGAGGAAAGTCAGCGGGGAGGACAACGTTATTCCATCTTTACTATCAGGTTCATTAAATAAGTTAAAGCACCGTTCAACAAGGCGAAGCAAGGCCTGAGCAACATCACCATTTTCATCTGTAATTGTAAGCGTAAAAACAAATTTCTGAGTAATTTCTATTTAATTTCGACATCGTAAGCCCTCTTGGTAAACAATTTCATATTCACGATATATAGCACGATTCTTAAGTGACTGTTGCAGTAAAACTTCGTGCAAAAAATGGTTTTTAAGAGGCAATCAGTTTGCGTTCCAAGCAAAGCGTTTTTAAAGCCCTTTTAAACTGGAAAGTTTTGCATCAATGCAACAGTTAAAAACGACGATACCTTTCGAGTTAATGCTAGCGCTGCTCTCCTTTGAACACCCTCCTTAACATCGATGAGATGGTCAAGACGACTGGTCACTGATTCGGTGGAAAGGGGACCAGTAGTTGGTTGCAAGAACAGCTGATAACTTTCTTATTTTTTCTTTGAAGTTCTACTGCAAAATTGAAGCTGGTCGGAAAAGATACTTAAGAGAAATGGCAGGAGGCTTTGCAATCTTTACTAGTTATCCGGCATTTTATAGCCTTCTATCCCGTAAAAAAGAAAAAAAAACTTGTAAAGAACTTGAGCTCAGTCGCAATAGAAGTGTACGCTTTAGTGTTTTCCTGATCCAGGGATTTATTTAAAAACTAGGCCAACAACTAGCATTTCTCTTTGGTGATGTAACTTAACCTATTGCCAGCAAGGTCCTCTTAGGCTCCGCTTTTACCCACAAGAGAATCTCCTCGTTGGACGATCTGGTGTCTGGCAGTTTACTACAGAAAGAGCAAAAGCCAATCAGATTTAAGGGTACCGTCCATTGAGAAATTGATGTTTGGGTTTGGATTTGGATTCTTATATAGGAACTTCGCTCATAGCCTCTGCAAATAAAATCTGTACTTGGACCTTTTTCACCTTAGTTTTTGAAAGAAATTCATCATTTTCTACTTATTTATTTTAATTTTTTATGTATTTGCCTGCAGAAAAATGCCTTGATTTCCAAAACTAGGATTTCCCAAAAGAACGAAACCACACATAACTACGTATTTGGCATAAACGAAGAGGTCTATCAGTTTATCTTCAAAAACAAAACAGCAGGACTTTCATGATGGCTGATGATGTGATAGCTGGTGATGGCTGAAGTTCTTCTCAAACTTTCGTTGCCATCGCGTTAAAACCGAAAAAGTTTATGACAAAAAGTTCGTAGTCATAGTTCACTGCGCTTTTTTTAATGACGGAACCACCTTTTAATGTTCACTGGGGTGCAAGAGGAAGAGAACATAAACTTATCAAAATTGTACCATACTCAAGTCAACGATCTACGAAAAGACATTAGTACCTGCTACCAAGATCTAGATTAACAGCCAGCTTCAAACCAAGAATAGTTGGAAGAAGTTGCACTGGAACACCAATACATCTGTTGTAAAAGTCCTCAATACTTTGACAGCTATTTTTCCATGAAATGCTCGAGGTATACAAAAGTGATGTGGCTGGTCTGCGAATAGAACATAGCAAAAAAGCTCTCACTACTAAAACCAGTTGTGTGATCATACAGTAACCGATTACGATGTATTTGTCCGCGCCATTTTTCGTAGCCCAATGGTCCACATGTTAGGGTCCGCATTGTCAATTCCTTGTCGTTGTGTGGTGGTTTACGTGCCACACATGCAGCAACCTGGAGGGCTATGTCAGCAGGAGCACTATAGCTCCTCGTAGAATCAACTATGCTGGACGGGTCAAAGGGTAGAGTACAAACTACTCTGGATTTTCTCCTTTCCAGAATAGGCCATTTGCACGATGGCCTCGTTTAACTACTACAACCAGAATCCTTTTCGTTTCAGTTCCTTTCATATTTAAATTTTGTAATCCCAGCCCCAATTTGTACAAGAAGCAAAACCCTGAAGGATTCTGGTTGTACTAGTAAAATGATGTCATTGTGCAAATGGCCTATTTAAATAAGTTTGCTTGGGGTCAACACTCCTACCTGGACAAAACCTTGTTACAGAAGCATCGAATGGCAAGGTTGACCCACCATTCTCATTTTCAATGTCAAACGAAACAAATTCAAGGGACGATGAGAAATAAATGGTACAGGCCAACAAGCAGAATTTGGCAACAGTTAGTTTACTAGTGGAGCGTTGAACTTACTCTTTCAGCCTTGGTGCACAACAAACGAGAACATTGAGCAGGCCAATATGGTCACTAACATTACTGGTGTCAATGACATCAAATGCAAGGTCTGGAAGGAAACCATTTGCACACAGAGAAAGGCCATCGCCAGTCCACAAGGTTACCTTTAAACAAAGACGGAACAGAACCAAAAAAAAAAACGAAACAAATCTGACAAAATCTTTTTCAGAGTTTTACCAACGAAGAAGGCGATGGCAACGAGAAGTCAGTTTGTTCTGATGAATTAATTCTTAGATTTTTATTAATTTTGGATCCCAAATGAGACCCAAAACAAATGAGTGTTTTTGGATTGAAGAATATTGATTTGGATTTCTCCAAAGAGTTTCTCCCCACAACTTAGGTCGCTGATGGGTGGAAAGGTGGTGAATTGAATGTTTAAGTGTCTGATGAACACTAAACAAGATTTTAATTACAGTGTTGACATCAATTCCTCGGCTAGCACCCCCAAAATATAATAGATTTAAGTTTAAGTTCAGAAACAGTCACGATACAACTTTAAGCCTGATCATGGCTTCCTCAGAAGTGCTACTGATACAACCAAGTAAACTTAACTAAGGCCCCGTCCACACGTATCGGGATATTTTTGAATCCGAAACTTTTTCTTTCCGGATACGGCTTCCGTCCGCACGTATCCGGTGAATCCGGCATACGAATCCGCAACTTTTTGAATCCGCTCTCCAGAGTGGAAATTTTTGAATACGCTGTGAATCCGGAATCGTGTGGACGCTTAATCCGGATATTTTTATCCGATGACGTAACAAGATCGAGCCCAGTTCTTTACCGTGAATACTGTATTCGAGATGGTAACCTCGTTCCCAGGTTCTCTCAAGACAGAGCAAGATACCAATTTCGCCGCGCTTTACGACGCGTGCTCTGTTACCAATATTTCCAGAGGAATCCTGGGTAGTAGAGTGAATCCGGATATGTGTCGGGTACGTGTGGACGGACAAATTCAATTTGAATATGGATACGCGTGAACGTGGAAATTTTTGAATCCGGAAAGAAAAAGTTGCGGATACAAAAATATCCGTATACGTGTCGACGGGGTCTAATTGTTTTAAAATTTTACATACGGTACATGTTTGTATATTTTCTAGCAAGAAATTTCTTGTTATGGTAGCCTGAAGATTCTATTAGTATATACATGGCTAATCAGACAGCTAAATAAATCACTTGTGGTGGTTTTTTATTGCCCAATATCTCGGATAGACAAATCTTACCTTCAATGCGTGACTCCTTTTATAGTTTTGGTAGCATTTTACAAGAAATTTTAAGCTCTCTTTACAGGCATCTGTTAGCGTTTTACATCGAAGCAGGTCTTTTCTGCAAAAGAAGGATCAGCTTTAAACGAGAGACGCAAGTAAAAAAACATCTACTGCATTTTACATCATTCAGTAACGTAACAAGCAACTCCTGATGCAGATCAGTGATAAAGTACAGGCGACTACCCCTTTCAGGGTACTCAAAAGTTTTCGGATATCATTTACAGAAATTCTCAGACAGTAGCAGTTAGACGTATTGTGGATCAGGAAAAAGCAGACACAATTTTGATTTCTTGTTTTTGCTAGAATCACACCTCAAATACGAACTGAAACCTTCCAGCAATAGCGTGCGAAAACAGCCCTCCCTCCTCGCCGCTAGGGACATTTTGCGAAGAGTGAGAGAGAAGGCTTTTTTGACAGGCTATTTCAGTAACGTCCTGTGAAAACTAGATTGGTAACTTTGTTACCATCCTAGGCTTTGCAATTAGCACAAATGGTTTGTGGTAGTTTACTCACTGTTTCTTTCCCGGCCTAAATACAAACTTTGAAAACGGGCGTAGAGATACCAGAGCGAGAGGAACGAGGTGGAAAGAGGTGACGCGACTCACGTTACTTTTATTTGCACCTGCCTCACGCTTTTTTGTACATTTTTTTGCCGTCGCTGCACGTTTACGACGTGAAAATGTCTAATTTCACGTTTTGTGGAGGACGTGAACACAAGGCAACGACTTTCGTCTTCTTTTTCTGAACTTCGATACAGTCTTTTAGAATTCAACTCCAGGAAAAGTTGCCAAGATTTGACAAATTGAATGAGATAGAATAAGCGCGATAAAGTTTGGAGCAGCGCGACTTCACGGCTTTTTACTTCAGCGGAGCGCGAAGTAAAGGATTCGCGACGCTCAGAAATGTATCAAAGTTGACATTTTTGGGACAAGATTGGGCATTCAAAGTCTGTAGGTTTTCGGTTTTATTCGGCTATTTGACGAAGTAAGAGCCGAATTAGTTCGAGATATCTCGAGATCACTTCGATTTCTTTGATTTATTCTTTAACTTATTCGAGGAAGAAAGAATTATTTTGCCTTTCCCGGGGTTTATAACCGACTCACCTGTGTGACCCGTCAGATCAAAGGACACTCTAAGTTGAGGAATTAGCCGATTGCGCTACTGCGACACACGCTATAAAAGTAGTATAGCTATGAATTTATGCACTAGTTTCGGGACAAGATTGGGCGCGAAAGTTCGTGACATACTTTTCGGCTTGTTTCGGCTATTTTACGAAATGAGACCGGACTACTTCGTGATATCTTCAGATCACTTCGAGTTTAGTCTTTAATTTCCTCGAGGAATAAATAGAGGATATTACATGGCTGCGCAGAGACACGAAATTTCTCTTCGAGTGTTGAAAACATTTCACGAGTGAGCGCTCCTTTCGAACTGTTTTATAATGAACTTTAAGTTACAAAATGCTGCACAAAGACGTTTTGTCTTTGTTGAGTGTTACGTAGTAAAATTGCTTTCATGCGTCGCGTGACTTTCTCGAACGTTCTCTACGTTTTTGGATAATCAATTAGGGCATGTTTACATTTCAGCATGAGTCAGCAGATTTGCATCAGTTACCGAAATCATAAAATATGTCGAAAACTTACTATTGTTCGCCTGTTTAGTATTTTCTAGAACCTTATGTCAAAAAGGTATACAAGTTCCAACCGAGTTCTTTTGACGAACTAAGTTTTTTCCCACGAGCTGGAGTGCTGTGCTTAGTCAAGTGTGACGAAGGTCGATTTTCAAGTTGGCAGAAGCCGCAAGATATCTGAAGTTCAAGTGAGAGTTTGTTATTATTGGCAGAGGCTGTTTAGTTTTACTTAAGTTCAAGTCAAGTTTGTGTTGGCGGATGCTGTATTTTAAAGCTCTCTAAAGACTATGTTCCTTTGGTATTAAACTTCCTTGTGTTAATCCGACGTCACTGCGTGCTGATAGTCAGTGAATAATTATACTAAAATCATTCGAACTCGTAACATTGAGTTTTAGCCAATTCCATGCTCAACATCATTGACTCCTTACCCATACCTTACATATCTTTAATCAGTACACGAGACTGCTATGCTGTTTTTGAAGCCTGATATGACTAAGAAAAATAGAGAATTCTTTTATCACTGTGAAAGGTTTGAACCCAGGAGTCATATCAAAAGTAGGGTTCAGTTTCATTGTCCGGGTGAACGGAGTGCGGTAGTCATCTTCAGAGTCAAAGTGAGTTGTATCACGTCAGTTGATGGTATCATACTCTGGTTATTGATCTGATTGGTCAATTACGTCGCGATGTTATTGGTCGTCTGTCAGTCAAGCCGTGATATTATTGGCTATGAAGACTCGTAATCAGTAATTGGCGCGTTTCGATCCGTCTATTGTCACAGTTAAACAGTCGTCTATTGTTAGTCAAATTGTCAGTTCTCCAGTCGTTCTCTCGTAGTTAGTTTTGCTTCATCTCGTCAATAAGTCGTTTGTACGGCGCTGGTAACTGTTGGCTACGATTCAGTGGCGTTTGTTCTAAGTAAACCAGCTTTCTAAAGTAAGACGTTGATAGTAGTCTGTAGAATACGTTATACATGTCGCAAAGTCCCAGTCAATTCGATGTTTCGTCTGTAAATGGCGTTCAGCAATGTGATTAATGACGTCACCATTCCTCGTCGCTCGTTTGTGTTCGGTCAGTCGCGTGCTTTGTTTTGTTAGACTTGGTATTCACCGCCAGTAACCTCATATTTGACTTAGGTCTAAACGTTTAGACCCAAGTCAAATTTAGAACGATTTGTATGGAGTCATCAGAGCATAACTGGGCAAATATCTCAGAGACAATTTGCCCCGAAATGCTAGTTTTTGGCAAGTAGGCCTCTTGGATGTTACTCTTTTCAGAATATCCTGACAAATCCCATAATTTCACAAATTAACTCCTTACTCTTACTATATTTCAGTTCTTACTATTCCTCCGCATTTACAATTAATCAGTTCCACAACCACGACGCCGAAGTGTACGCTCCACAGCGTCTTGTTAAGTGACGTTTTGGTAGCCGTCGCCATGGCGAGCACTAGAAAACGGAAGAAATCGAGAATTCGGTACTCACTTGTCAATTGGAAGGTAACCATCAAAGGCACACGCTCCATAGTGCTGCTTCCACTTGTGAACAAATGGGCGAATCAAGGTTGGGTTCACTTTATTCGAATCACCGCTCGTGGACCCCTCCATGAACCAATGCTTTATTTCTGGCTTAAACTGGCTTGAAAACGTCCTTTCTGGCGATGAGACATCTTCGGCATCTTCGTCTCCGTCTTCGTGTGTAATTCCTATTTCCATTTTCGATACAACTCCAAAGCATTGATTTTCCATTGTAGAGCCTATTCTTTGTCTATCTTTCTCTATAAAGTTGTTCCTTTCTTCTTTGACACTGTTTACGCTGAGGTCAAGCTTCACCCAGTCCTTCCAAATATCACGACACTCTTTAAGGACAGCACTATCTTGAAACTTTAAGACAGTCAATTCGTCGCTATCAAAACCTTTGTCGATCAGTTCTGAAAGAATCCGTTGTAGCCTGGCAAAATGTGTTTCAGAAAGCGTCATGTTGTACCAGGTGTTCCACAAGAAATCAACGTCATCTGAGACATCAGTATTTATCGAACTGGCAACCTCGAGCAAGATCGCATTTCGAGCGACTACCGATGGATCATAGTCATTTAAGTGAAAACTTAAACTTTTAGGACATTCCTTAGCTTTTCTTAGCGAAATTTCAGACACAGTATATAAAACGTTTCTAACATCCCCCGAGGCTAAAAGCAGCAAGTCTAAATGTTGTTTCTTCGAAGTTCCTAACAGCTCTGTGATATCTCTCGCTCTTGTGTTTCCCATGGAATAGGAGTAAAGGCCGTGGGGGTAAAGAATTGTCCCCGCAGGATTATAAAATCCCAAAATTGGGACTCCTTGGCTGTCATATTTAGTCATGTCGAAGTAGTTTAATACACACCTGATTCAAGAAAACAGTTGTTTGCTTTCCGCGAAACGGAAGTAATTCCAAGAAAACCGTCCGTGAGAAGCCTGGGTTCAGAAAAAAAACGGACGGCTGGAAGGTTACTGGAGGGACCGGAGGGTGTACCTATATTCTGTCTGGGCAGCGGGAGCGGGGCGGGGGGGGGGGGAAGGGGGATAGTGTTCGATTTTAGTAACAAGTTATATTTTCGTTATTTCTTAGCTATCAGTTAAAATTACAGTTAAATATTGGCCAAGCTCCTTTTGCTGCTTCGCTGGCGAGGCCAGGCATGTCTATGAACCCCATTTTGCTACTCTCTTTCGTTTAATAAGACGTTATTTCAGGAAAAAGTGGAGACCTAAAGCCTACTGCTGATGCTCCGCCATCCCTGATTACCCCCAAAACTGAAATTCGGAAACGGCTTTATTTTCCCAGTCATGAACTGTTGTTGTTCTTCCACCAAAAAATAAAAATTATGAGGAGCCCAATGAGAAGCTCGTGTCAACCATAACAATAATATTTCATCAATCCGATCACCATGCAATGTGTACTACCGATCAACAGCTGGGTACACAATACATTGTCTTATATATGTAGCGAGGCCCGAGTTAACAAAATGGCTGTTTCATTACCTTTATGTGTAATGTGGCATATGAATCTTCCGGATATGTGTATGTTGCCAAAACACTGCGAGATTCGGGGCTGCGGTTATCAAATGGAGTAGCGATCTTCGTAAGGTTATAAACCATCTTTCAGACGTGGATATATTTTTTGATATACAGGAACGTAAAGACTATTTATTCGGCAATTTTTTGCTGGTCGGAAAACAGTACATGAATAATTTTAGATGCACTGGTCTTAAGAGTTTCCTTGGTAGAGACTTAACGAAGTTTATTCATTTACGGGTATACGACAAGTACACAATAAAAATTGTCTAAAAAAAGTTTTTCTCTTTCGGGTTTGTTGCACCAAAGTTCTTGAAGCTGTTTTTCGAGATCAAGTATCAACTCCTCTAACGCTGCTGTAGTATACGGGATGACTTTTAATTCATCGTCTTCTTGTCGAAGCATCTCCCTCAGTTTGTTGGTTGCGGGTTTTTCATCTTTAGTAGTTTCTTCGTCAACGTTCAAAATAATATTTTCTCTCTCATCTTTTCCTTTTTTTGACCCAAGATTTTTCCTCCACTTTTGAAATTTCGAGCAAATGCTAGAACCCATGATTTTAGTCAGTGCTGCTTTTCATTATTAAATATTTAAGCGGATTCGCCGTTTAACGTTTATTTTGCATATTAATTTGACGTGCCACCCGTTAGCATCATAAATTTCTCCCTCTACAACATTTACACGTGAATGTTTAATGGGCACGAGAAGTTCATAACATCATGATAAACAAATCGGACGCTTCATGTTAATGGCTACCCTTTGTTCCATTTCCAGTCTCCGCGCGACCTAGTCATTGTTATGCACCTATCGATGTAAACCCCGTGGGGGGGGGGGGAGTGCGGGCAAGGGGTGGGGATTTGACAAATTTTAAAATTTTTCGATCAAATTCCCCAGGGTGGGAAACGAAAGGTCAATCAAAAGTGTCAAAAAAGCCCCCACCCCAGGGGAAAAAATCTAAACAAACAATGCTATAATACTATATAAAACGAATAAAAGAACATTTCAAACACGTTGTTACTACTTTTATTTTCGGTTAACGGAAGCTCCATTAAATTACTCGCTGTAATTAAGTATTTTCTCTCTCCACTAGCATCTCTTATCTTGAACAACAAAATCACTCCAGGAAGATTGACC